CACCTTATCTGCATAAAGGTGAAACATTAATATGAAGGTCAATTAAATTATAAAACATGGAGTAAAGTTCTCCTTTTTTATTTAATTTGTGCATTTTAAGTGTGTTTATTTATTTATTAGTCCATTTATATATTTCTGCTTTTATTTTTAATTTTGACAGTTTTGGCCCTCCATAGTCAGATGCATGTTTCTCTGATGTCACATGTCAGTTATATGCAGATGATAGTTTATTTACATGCAAAACCATTTCTTATTTGTTGCAAATTATATGTCTTGTGTGTTCTTCCATGTATGACAATTTTTTATTTGTTCATTTGTTTGTTTGTTTGTATTATTTTTCACTATCAACCTGCCAGGGGACTGCAGATAAAAATTATCGCTCTTGGCTAAATCTGACACATTTACACGGCTGTTTTACTGAACTCATTTTGATTACTATGTACTGTCCCTTATGAAATAAATTCATATTTAAAACCCTTTCACCACGCAATAATAATGAGGGACTGCACAAATAAACAATTTTTAAAAAATTGAAAAGATGTTTAAAATAAACGCTTTCATTTTTATTCGTCTGCAGAATACCACATTATAAAGATTATCAATAAAAACAGAATGGTTGCTATGACATAAAAAACTGTAAAACCCTTGTTGATTCGCTGAGCCACTCGGGTCCAGTATCCAGGTTTCTCATTCTCATTTCCGCTGCTGAGGAAAGTGAGTGTTTTCTTAATCTCTCCAAGCTCATCTGAGAGCTTTTCTAGTGTAAGAGACACGTCATTGTGTTGGCTGCTACTGACCTGCAGATGTGAGTTTAGAAAACAGGTTATAGTCATATTCTCATTTAAAAAATGTGACACTGCAAACTGCTACTTTGAAACATTTCTCACCTCTTTGCAGACAGGAAGTGTTTCAACAGTAGCTCTGTGATTGGTGGATGCACAGAGATTCAGCTTCTTTAACCCTGAAGCAACAAACCCCATCAGTGTCTGAGTATTTCAATCCAAATGAAGTGTGTTTAATATTAAATGAGCAAACCACAGTGAAAATGGAAGCTGAGGTTTAGCTTTAGAAGAAATTGTAAACAGTCTCACYGAAAAAACTGTTGCAGAAGTTGTTCTGTTGGCTCTCTTGACCCTCATTCAGGTTTGGGTTCATGGTTGTCTCCTCATCCTGGGATGCATCTTTATCAATGAGATGTATCACCAAAATGGTCTCCAAGAGGCTGAGCAGCATAAGACCAAAAACCCCCATACAGTAAACCGCTGAGGAGGGGAAAACAAATTAACATGAGTATTTCCTGCTCCTGAATGATGGGTAACAAAAACATTACCTATCAGTGGAATCTTGTCTGAGGAACTGGGAAGAATGTCGTTGAGAATTAGCTGCATCACTGTGACAGCGAGCAGCACGGTGATTTTGAAGCCAATCTTCTCGCCGCCGGTGTCTGACATCAGGAGGGAGGCGAAGTCCAGACACAGGAAGAAAAGGACGGGCAGCAGGAAGTTGGCGATGTACAGGACAGACCTTCTCTGCATGTTTACCTGCAAAATAGTTGGTCAGATTTTACTTGATTGTATTTGTGTTGACAGACAATGCACTTAAAGAAGACAGATCATGCAAAATCTACTTTTTTAGTCAGTAAATACATTTGTGTACTTGGAGTCTCTAGGATTGCAGAAAATGTGAGTGTCTCTCCTGTTGCTGTGTAGATATATTTATATCTTGTTTGGTTCATGTTTTTCAACCCATTCAGTTTTCTCTATTTTCTGGTCTGGACTTAACAAACTACATTTTGGTGGTCTTCATTCTCTTCTGGCTCAGGGTCAGACTCTGGCTCCAACAAGTAAGGCTAGATGGACAAATCTGTTGACATCTTTTAAATAAATTGTAAATAAAATGTTTCTGCACTGCTAGATAGTCATATAGCTATCTATAAAACTGCAACGAACCGGTCTGGAAGCTGGAGGGGGGCGGGGCGTGAAATGACTCATTTGGATTTAAAAAGAGCCTCAAAATGAGTTGATCTGAGACAAACCTCAGAAAAGGGGAGAATAAGGGGCTTGTGGAGTTACAATAAGGAAGAATTCAGGCCAGATGTCCACCAGTGAAGGGTAATAGTGTAATGTTAAAGTGGACATATCAAGCTTTTAAATTCTTCCTTTTCACATTTAAATCATTCAGTTGGGGTCTATATAGTGAAACTCATTCCTTCCTCTTCACCAACTTTACCAGCCTGTGTGTCTCAWAGCAGCTGGTTTTGATCCTGTTCCTTTAAGGCGCTTCAACTGTTCTGCACTCATAGACTCCAATTGCACAGCAAAATGCATTTAACAGCTAAAAAAGTGGATTTTGCGTGATATATGTCCCCTTTAATTCAATATTTGCCACTTATGAAAGAGAACACAAACACTCACGGTATAAACAATCATTGTCTGGTTGAAGCCAAAATGTTTGACAGTTTTGCTTGTGACTGTCATGCTGACAAAYAGCCACTCATACTGTGTCTGCAGCGTTTCCCGAGACCACTTTGTGATCTCTGTGTTGTTCTTATAGTAGAATAACTTTATTTCTTCATCTGAGGAGGAAAACAAAGGCAACTGTGTCTTTTCTAAGCAGGTAAACAAGAAACATTTTGTATGTCTGGGCATGTTAGCCACATATAGCTGAGGTTTTAGGGCTCACCAGAGTGCATGATTGATTTGAAAGAGATGTTGCAGCTCTGAATATCGAAGGGGAATTTGTAAACACGCATCTTGCAAGAGCTGATCACCACCTGATCGTTTCTGAATTCAACCCATCCGTAGTTCCTGATGTTGAGGAAAGGACTGGGAGAGGCTTTGTCTTGTTCTGTCCTGTGAGACAAAAAATGACATAAAACTAAAAAAGAAATGTGGAGCAATATACAGTATCACAACTTCAAATGTACAAAAAAGCTTATACTTGTTTTACGTTTCAATCATAATCCTGAGGATGTAGCACAAATGTGAGGATGTAGTACAAATGTGGTCAAATCTGAATTCGAGCAGAGCTTCAAAGAATGCAATATAAAGAAATAAACACAATTTCTGTGTGATTCTAATCAACTAGAAAAAATAAAATAAAAATGTATCAAAACTTCAGGCAAAGGTGCCGAGTCATGTTTAGACAAATTGGACTAACGAATGATTGTTGTTGATCTTTTACAGCTGCTTAAGCAGAAGATCAAACCAGAAATTACTGTCTCATTTCAATCTGGGACCCCAAAACTGATGGAGAGATAAAGCGAGGACCCCTACCTCTACTATATATATA